CCCAACAGGCAGCAGCGGCGGGCGCCACGTCGAAACAGCCGCTTTGAAATTGCTCGGGCCTGTGCGAAACCCGCCACCTCAGAAACCTGCAGTGTCTTGTGTCTGGACCTCTAGGCCATGTCCGATGGGGTGAAAGGACACTTGAAAATCACCCTGTTATTTTTCGAGGGGCGGCTAGGACCCGACAAATGTCCTGGGCCGCCCCTTTTTTTTTTTTGATTTTTGCCCCAGGACCTCCATCCGGACACGGGGACCGGACACTGGACACTGGACATTGGACACCGGACATCGGACTGTCTGGAACCCGGTCCGGACGTCCGGGCGGTTACCATGCCCTAAACCCTTTTTTTTTAAACAAATGCTCCAATCTATTCGTGGGGAGCAGCACGTGCTGCGAACCGGGTCCAGCATCCCATAAGGACATTTACAGCTTCAACAAGGACCTTTTTTGAGAAAAGTTGAGAGTAGCTCCGCCTGCCAACATTGATTACCCTGGAATCCAGGGGATTAACTGTGCAGGGAACGTCCTTTGATGGTAATGAAAATGAAAAGGACTATGCTATGTGAGCAGATCTGCCTGCGTACCTATGCTGACTCAACTCAACACACCCGACCCCCCTTCAACCCCCTTACCTTACTCCGGCAAGACTTATTACAGTAGAGCCACCATCTCTACCGCGAATATGCTTTAGCTCAATCCTGCCGACTAGCCCCTTCATCAGCAGAACGCGTGATATCCCACCATCTCCGTATCCCTCTGAACCACTTGTTGCTCACCCCCATCTGTGCGACCCCTACACAACAGAGTAACGGGGGCTCCAAATGTGTTCTCGCCCAACCAGCATAGCTCCAATCTCTGGAAGATGCACACTCCGAGCTAACCAGGATGGGTCAAATTTGGAAGAACATGTAACCCCTGAAACAGACAAGCAGAACAATCCTGCCTCCATCATCGAAAGGAAGAACCTCAAGTTGATCCAGGTGGAGTTAGTGGCCGGTGGCCGGTACCCTAAACCCTAAACCCTAACCCTAACCCTAACCCTAAACCCTAAACCTAAACCTAAACCTAACCCTAAACCCTAAAATACGAGGACATAACCCTGAACTTTTTCTCATCCCTTGAAATATCTACAGCACTAGAAGTTGCCAGGAGGGTAACCCATCCTGGCACCGAGTGGCAGAAGCGGCACTTGGCGCAGTAGCCATGCCAGGTTTACAGTATTGCAGGCATCTTGTCTGATATGCCACCGTCCATACTCACTCCATTACACAGTTTGTTGTTACCTGAACTGTGTCTTTAAACCGCCAGTACACCGTTCCAGCCTTGCTGAAAAAGAACCTCGTCGCCTAGGTGTCATTCTCGGGCTCGGCGGAGGGTCGGTAGTGCGATGGGGGAAGAAGGCGGTGGGCCCAAGGAAAGGGGCAAATGGACTGCACATATTACTGCTGGTTCACTATGTGCATGTGGAAACACACGCATGGATGGGAGAATTGAGATGCAGGAGGACGAAAAGAAAAAGAGCAATGATGTTTGGCCCGCCATTTGGCGAGGGAATAAAGAGCTGGGGACATAAAGTTCCCTCAGCTTTGTCAGGCACCCTCCTCTCACCGCAGGAGCCATGTGCGTTGGCCTTTTCCCCTTTGCTTTCAAGAGCGCCCTCCCCCTCCCCCCACCCCCCCCCAACACCCTTGGATTGCATCTGGTTGTAATCTCGTCCACAGCTGTTGCTGGAGAGTTTGGCTGTGGCGACACATGAGTGAAAACAGCCGCCAGCGGCTTCCTTTTCGTTCCAAAGTTTCGCAGCTGGTCCAGCTCGTCAGCTTTACAGAGATCACTACCGGTACCACCCCCAATTTTCCAAGTTGCGGTACCGATAGCTTCCAGGCTCGGCAAAACAGTAGATTTAGGCTCTCATACATTTAGCATTGGGTGCCCTGGTGGTTTAAGTCATACTCAGTATTACTCACCCTTTCTGGACAGGTAGCGATGTCAGACTAGATATGCCACATAGTTAGGATTTCTGAGACGTCTTGGAAAGCCATTCTGTCTCGTCTTCAACTGCGAATGTGACATTAGTATGTCGTTACACTCTCTTGTACTTCACTCTCTTCTCCTCATCGTTCTTCTCACATTTGGATCCGCGAGTGCTAGAAGGTACTCAGTCCTTAAGCTCTCAAGCCTAAACTTTCTGAAACCTGAATCGTAGAGGCCTGTAGACACTAAACCCTACACCCAAAGTGCTTGATCATGGACCGCATGATTCCTCAAACCTGCTCCACTGGGCCCCGAATGTGCTACGTAGTGGGCCAAGAACGTGCTACGTAGTGGGCCGGGAATGTGCTACGTAGTGGGCCAAGAATGTGCTACGTAGTGGGCCAAGAACGTGCTACGTAGTGGGCCGGGAACGTGCTACGTAGTGGGGCCTGGGACACGCTGAGCAGGTATGGGTGTTAAGACCGTAGATCGGAAGAGTAAGGAGAAGAAAAAAAGAGAGAAAGGAGAAGAAAAAAAGAGAGGAAAAGGACCCAGCTGGTCCCACTCCCCGCCAATTGATCAAAGCATTTGCTTTTTTTTCCCTTTTTTTCATCCGTCTGCAGCGCTCTGCCCAACCTTTTTTTTTTTTTTTTTCGTTGTTGTTGTTGTTGTAAACAGAAGTTACAGAACTTAGGGTTTCTGGCTCCATGTCCATTCCATGTGCTCTGCCCAACTTCATACAACTCTGAAAACATTTCCTCCCTAACATTGATCAGCGGCTACACATGTGTACCATTGATTCCCCTCCTTCCCCCCCAAACAAAGAAGGGGAAAAAAAAAAAAAAAAAAAGAAAACACACGAGGACTCGGACCTTGGGAGTGACCATGCATGCACCAGAACCAACTCTTCGCCCATTGGGGACTTCGCCAGAATTGCTAACATGGCCAGAATGTCGTGGGTCATTTTGGTCATCATGTTGTTATGCCTTGTTTTGTGACTACGACTTATCTCCTTTATTTTTACTTTTCTTTTTTGAGAAGCATTTCGAGAAATGATTTTCTCCCTAATAAAAAGGAAGAGGAGGGGGAGCAAAAGAAAGGATCGAGATAAAAAATGGTTCAGCAGAATCGGCTTTGAAGTTTGAAGAGCCATGGCGCCAGACATATGGCTCACCTTTCTGCTCAGGATTTCTGGATGGCAGAAACCATGCCTAGGTTCACACTACAATCGGTGGGAGTGAGTGGAGGGGAGGGAGAGAAGGAGCGGGAGGAGGACAATGACAACGAGGAAGAGAAGGTATCAGCTGCAGGAGAAGCGAGAGGAAAAGGAAGAAGAAGAAGATGGGAGGTGGTGGAGGAGGAGGAGGAGGAGGAGGAGGAGGAGGGGTGGAAGAGAAGGAGGAGGAGATGTGGTATAATGATTCTGATAAGGAACGGTCCAGAGAAAAACGAAAAATCCAATGGGGATGGATCCTCCTTGGAGGTACATGATTGCTCCTGGCTGTCCTTGAAGTTTTTCACTGCAGGTTGAGTCAGTGAGTGTGCAATTGCCCCTCTCACCTACCGCACTCTTCCCCTTTGTTGTTGGTCTCCCTCAATGCCAACTCACAAATTGAAAGTTTGAACTTTGGAAGTCGTCCTTGACCGTTTTCGTTGACATCAACACTCCCTTTCCTCATGCTTTTTTTCTCCTCCTCCCGCTCATCCTCCCGCTCTTCCTCCTCCTCCTTCCAGTCCTCCAAGCACCTCACCTCTTTCTGTGTCTTCTACCACTTTTGCACCTCTCCCCTCTCTCTGTTTGTGCGATCAAAACCATCCTCCTGCTGGCTCTGCTGCTGCACATGCACCCACTGTGGTTGTCCGCACAACTGCTGCTCCTGCCGCCGCTTCAACGCCTTCTCCTCCTCCTCCTCCTCCTTCCAGCCCTCCAAGCACCCCGCCTCTTTCTGTGTCATCTACCACTTTTGCACCTCTCCCCTCTCTCTCAGTTCGTGCGATCAAACGATCCTTCTGCCTGCACTGCTGCTGCACATGGACCCACTGTGGTTGTCCAGACAAGTATTGCTCCTGCCGCCGCTTCAACACCTTCTCCTCCTCCTCTCCCTTCCTGTCTGTGCCTGCTCCTAATTTGACACTGTCCTGGCATTCCCATCCCCACTGCTGCCTCTTTCTCCTCATTTGCTTTGGTGCACAGCTGCCTTGTCCTCTTCATTTGCTTTCATGCCCCAACTGTCCCTCTCTTCCTCCCCATTTCATTTGCTTCCACGCACCCAAAAGGATTCGAACAACAGATCTGTTTATTAACAGTTACATTTGTGCCTGTTCTCCCTTGTTTGCTTTGTTGTATTACATGCAGTGCATGCCAACAATGAGGTGGGAAGTCTTCAGCCGATTGCGGAGATCGCTGCATCGCTTCGTGGAAAGGGAATCCTTGTGCACACAGATGCAAGCCAGTCAGTCGGGAAGATCCCAATCAACTGGAGAACGCTGGGCGTCGATTTGCTCACAATCGCAGGCCATAAGGTCGGTGTTCATCACAATGAGTTGTTCTTTGTTTTTCAACTTCTTTCCAACTCTGTTTTGAAATTGTCGTTTGACGCTGTGAACAGTTCTCTTCTCGAAGTGGCAGGAGAATAATAAGTTAATCTATCACAAGTTCATAACTTGTTAACTATCATTATATCATAGTAAAAAAAAAAGGGGGGAAACTGTGGCTGCGACACACTTTTAGTTTGAAATAGGCAAGAAAAAACAAAGTGGCTCTGGCTGGTGTCATGGTGTGAGTTTCGAAATGTGCAACAAGTTTAGCGGGGGTCTAAAACTGCGCCAGTCAGTACCCGCAGTGTGGCTTTTGGCAGATTTAGGGTCTCCTTTTTTGCTCGTGCAAAACTGTGTACATTTCGGGAACTGCTAAAGTTGCCTATTCTGTGTCCTTCGGGACATCCGTTAAAATTGGAACGATGCAGAGCAAGAAGATTAGCATGGCCCCTGCGCAAGGATGACACGCGTAAATCGAAAAATGGTCCAAAAAAAAAAACAAAAAAAAACGAGGTTGCCTATTTTGAACGTTGGGTGTGACTCCGAAGTACTTGCCCCTTAAAAATAATAATTATAATTGCAGTGGCCACAACTGTCTCCTTTTCTCCTGATTTGAGGATTAAAAAAGTGGTTATCTTTCAACGCCTCACCTTAGCCATCAATCCCTGTAGACTCTTCTTGCAATCACAGAACTGAACTGAACTGATTGTAGCTCTTCAGGGAAATGAGGACTTGACACTTTCTCTTCTCTTCTCTGATTCTGTATATGATGAAGAGCTACTTTATACAGAAGCAGATGAGGAGATTTCCCCTTACTGGCGCCCCGAGGGGGAGAGGCCCATCTCCGCCGCATCTTAGTGACTGTACCTGCAGCGGAAACCATTTCCGAGGCAATCTCCGAGTTTTGAGCAGGTGCTGCTCCCGTTTCCAGCAGGTGCTGCTCAACCTTGTATCTCCCTTGTATTGTTGCTCATGGGACGCTGGACCCAGTTTCCAGCAGGTGCTGCTCCCGACCAATAGACTGGATTCATCTGATGATGGTGCTACTGGGGGAGGCTCGTATCGCCCCTGCAGCACCATTGCCAGGAGAGCATGAATGAAAAGGCTGCTTGCTTTGTTGTGAAGGCTGTGTCGACAATCTCCGAGGCAATTCCCAAGCCAATCGCTGAGCCCATTGCAGAGCCACTTCCGAGGCAATCTCCGAGGCAACCCCCGAGGCAATCCCCTAGCCAACCCTTGAGATAACTCCTGAGGCAATTCCTGGTCCAGTTACTGAGCCAGTTACTGAGCCAGTTACTGAGCCAGTTACTGAGCCAGTTACTGAGCCAGTTACTGAGCCACTCTCTGAGTCACTGCCCGAGGCAACCCCCTGAGGGAATTCCTGAGCTAGTTACTGAGTCACTCCCTGAGGCAATTCCTGAGGTAATCCCTGGGCCAGTTACTGAGCCACTCCCTGTGTCACAGCCCGAGGCGACCCCCTGAGGCAATTCCTGAGCTAGTTACCGAGTCCCTCCCTGAGGTAATTCCTGAGGTAATCCCTGGGCCAGTTACTGAGCCAGTTACTGAGCCACTCCCTGAGTCACTGCCGGAGGGGATCCCCTGAGGCAATTCTTGAGCTAGTAACTCAGTCACTCCCTGAGGCAATCCCTGGGCCAGTTACTGGGCCGCTGCCTGAGGCAATCCCTTAGTCGATTCCCAAGGCAATCCCTGAGCAAATTGCTGAGCCTCTCCCTGAGTCACTACCCGAAGCAACCCGCAAGACAATTTCCCAAGCATTCCCGAAGCAAATGGCTGAGACAATTGCCGAGAGCAGTGCACATAAAATTGCAGACAGTTCCGAGACATTGTCCGAGACATGCTCCGAGACATGCTCCGAGACATTCTTCGAGACATTCTCCGAGGCAGACGCAACACCCGAGGCGATCCTCAAGCGGATCCGTGGGCTGATTACTGCATGCTACATACTCCACCTGTCACAAGAAACGGAAACAATGGCACATTTACATCCTGGCATGCGTAACATGCTGGCAACAGATGTATCATGCATGTGTAGTTTGCTGTTTCCTTGGTTTGGGCCTTGCAGGACTTGATCCCGTGACCTGTAATTTGTACGTTTGGTTTGTTAGCTTCGAGCCCTACTGAGCTTGATCCTTAGACCTGTAGCTAGTAGTCTCTATTTGGCAGTCCTAGACCCTTAGGCTTTCAACTGTTTTGTCGTTTTCTGCATTTGCTGAAGTCAACCTGGGACTTGACCGCATGACCTGTAGTGTGTTTGTGGTGTTTGACTGTTTTTTAGCTTTATTGGGCTTGAAACTTGAACCTGTCGCTAGTGGTCTCTACGTCGTAGTCTTAGGCCTTTCCACCTTGTTGTTTTGTCCTTTTCTACCCTTCTGGAAACTGATAGGCCCTTAGGTCTTTCTTTTGTGTGTCCTAGCCTTAGGACCCCTTAGTCTAGGTTTCCATCCAGATGGATGTAGGTAGATCTTGACTGTTTGACTGTAGATGTTTGTTGTTTGGACAGTCAGATAGGTCTGTAGGTGGCTGCTGTGTTGTAGGTCTAGGGAAGTCGGGTAGAAGTAGGCAGAGGCCGAGGAATTTGGGGCTCTTTTCGTTGCATTTTTCACGGTCTTGGTGGAGGTCGCGTTGCTTCCCTGCTGCGTTATTGTGGGCATGTACGCAGGGCATCTTTTCCACATGCTGCTGGCGGCCATAGCTGGGGCCGGCCAGCTCCATTGGTGACAGCGATGGGCTCGGCACCCAAGTGCTGATGAGCGCTTCCTCATATTCGTGAGCTTGTTGGGGTTAATCCAGCTGCCACCAAAGCAGCTGTTTGCACGTCTTCTTCGAAGTGGCAGGCCTTCATCGAGTTGTTCTTCTTCTTCATCTTGGGAGCTGTGCTTACCTGCTGACTGGACACGTAATCTGCAGATGGTCTTCGTGAGTGGTGCAGAGCGACTTGTTGGATTCAGGAGGGTGCGTGGCATTTGCAGGCTTGTCTAGTTGGGCGCTGGAAGTGGAAGTGGCACCATAGCTAGAGCTTGAGGAAGAGGGAGGAAGAAGAAGACTCCTGGATATTTCAAAGAAACTTTGTATATAATTGGTCCGTGGGTGTTGATAACGTGGCTGGGATTCTCGGAATTTGTGTTGTTGGTTGAACTGGAGAGAGAGACACAGGATAATAAGAACTGAATTAAACTCAATTCTGTTAATGGTTTTGAGCTAGGCTGGTCCCCGGGCCGCCTGGCGGCCTAGTCATCGCCCGGGGGGGGGGCCGGGCCGCCTGGCTGGTTTTCGCGCCCGATTGGCCACCGGGCGCCCCCAGCGCATCACTATAGGTTAGGTTTTTTTTTTTTTTTCTTTCGGCTGGGGCCCTCTTTGCCCCTATGCTAGACTGTGTAGACCACGAAAAAAAAAAACAAACGGGGCCGGTAGGCCCGATTTGACCGATTTGAAATCAGGCCCGAGCTTGATCATCGATCTCAAAGATCGACGGCCCAGATGGCCGCGATTTCAAATCGGTGAGGGCGGGAACTACCGGCCCCCATTCCCTCCCCCATACTCAAACTGTACCCCCGACGTCCCCCCGTTCCCTGCCCTGTAGTAGTGACGTTCCACCGGCCTTCGACGCACTTCTTCGACGAACCTGCCGGCACCTGCCAACGTCCGCCATCGCACGTGCCCCCGCCGTCGCCCTTCAACGGCCGCCATCGCGGTTCCCTGCCATCGATAAGGTAAGGGACTCAGTTGGAGAGAGAGAGAGAGAGAGAGAGAGAGAGAGAGAGAGAGAGAGAGAGAGAGAGAG